AAGAGCCAGAAAGGGCCACATAAACCAGAGACTTCATCAGCCTGAGACCACAAGAGCTAGATGGTGCCCAGCTACCACCAATGACCACCCTGACAGGGAACACAACAGGGAATCCCGGATGGGGCAGGAGAAAGGTGGGGTGCTGTTGCAGAATGGGGTGAGTTGTTGGGGTCTCACAACAATGCATGTAAAAAAACAAAATTCTGTATGGGAGACCAACTTGAAATGTAAACTTTATTTAATTACAACAATTAAAAAAAAAATTATCCAAGAGTTGAAGCAAAAAGCAGACACAAATGAGGAAAAAACAGACAAATTCATAGAAAATACAGACAAAAAAAATGGAAGAATTCAGGAAAATACTGCAGGAACAAAATGCCAAACTAAATTCAGAATTAGAAGTTGTACAGAAACAACTAGAAACCCAAAAGATAAACAATAAGATTTCAGAAATGGACAGTGTCATAGAAGGGCTGAGGAGCAGATCTGAAATGGTGGAAGACAGGATCAGTGGAATTGAACAAACACTTGGATACAACTCTGTTTGAGGAAAACTCAGAAAAAAGAACAAAGAAAAATGAAGAGACACTGAGAATTATGTGGGACACAATCAAAAGGAAAAATCTGTGAGTGATCGGAGTTCCAGAACAGGGGAAGAAAACATAAAACACAGAGAGGATCACTGAAGAACTGCTGACAGAAAACTTCGCCAATATCATGAAAGATGGAAAGCTAGCCATCCAAACAGCTCATCAAACCCCATATAGGATAGATCTGAAAAGAAAATAACCAAGGCATATCATAATCAAACTCGCCAAAACCAAAGACAAACAAAGAATCCTGAGAGCAGCTCGTGAAAAACAAGAAGTCATATAGACAGAGAAACAGTAAGAGTAAGCTCAGATTATTCAGCAGAAACCATGCAGGGAACAAAGCAATGGGATGACATATATAAAACCTTGAAAGAAAAAAATTGCCAGCCAAGAACAACATAACCTGCAAAACTCTCGTTCAAATATGATGGTGAAATTAGGACATTTCCAGATAAACAGAAATTAAGGGAGTATGTAAAATCCAAGCCAAACTTACAAGAATTATTAAGGGGAGTCCTTCAATATGAGAACAAACAACTTCGGCTCACAGGCTGAATCTAGGACGCAGGATCTTACTAGCCAGATAGCAATCTAGGAAATGAACTCTCAAGGACTATCCAAAACCAAAAGAAATACAACAGCGAATACAACAGTTAATCTGTAAATGACAACAACATCAGAACAATAAAAGAATAAACAGTGCAGGTATAGAACCTTCTAATGGAGAGGAAGGCAAGGCGATACCAAGTAATAATAGACTACTTCAAACTTAGAAAGATAAAGGGTAAATTGCACAGTAATCACAAAGAAAACAAACATAAAAATACAGAGAAAAAACAAAGTCTCAGTAAAAACAAAAGCTAGAAAAACAAAAGATATGAAAAAAAATCCACAAACAAAAGGAATTCAGCACAGGAGAGTAAGAACAAAGAAAACAGCACCACAAAAAAAAAGCACTACAAAATGACAGCAATAAACTCACATCTATCAATAATTACACTAAATGTACAAATGATCCTAATAAAAACTGGGCAAAGGAAATGAACACTTTACCAAAGAAGACATTCAAACGGCCAACAGACACATGAGGAAATGCTCACAATCACTAGCCATTAGCGAAATGCAAATTAAAACCACAATGAGATACCATCTCACCCTGGCACTACTGGCATGAATCAAAAACATCAGATATAACAAATGTTTGAGAGGCTGCGGGGAGATCAGAACTCTTATGCACTGCCGGTGTCAATGCAAAATGATACAACCATTTTGCAAAATGATATGGCACTTCCTTACAAAGCTAGAAATAGAAATACCACACGATTCAGCAATCCCACTCCTAGGAATATATCCTAGAGAAATAAGAGTCGTCACTCGAATAGACATATGCATACCCATGTTCACGGCAGCATTGTTCACAATAGCAAAAACATGGATACAACCTAGATGCCCATCAACAGATGAATGGATAAACAAACTATGGTACATACACACAATGGAGTACTACACAATGATAAAGAACAATGATGAATCTGTGAAGCATCTTATAACATGGATGAAACTGGAGGACATTATGCGGAGTGAACTAAGTCAATCACAAAAGGACAAATACTGTAGGAGACTTCTATTGTAAAAACTCATGAAAAAGTTTACACACAAAAACCAACAATCTTTGTTGGTTATGAGGGATGGGAAGGGTGGGGAGGAATACTAAATAGGCAGTAGATAAGCTGTATCTTTGCTGAAGGGAGACAGTACACAATACTGGGGAAACCAGCACAACCTGTACAAGGAAAGGTCATGGAAGCGTCACAGACACTTCCAAATTCTCTGAGGGACTGAATTGCTGGGCGGAGGGCTGTGGGGACCATGGTCTCGGGGAACATCTAGCTCAATTGGCATAACACAGTTTATAAAGAGAATGTTCTACATTCTACCTTGGTGAGTAGCATCTGGGGTCTTAAAAGCCTGTGAGCAGCCATCTAAGATACTCCACTGGTCTCACCCCTTCGGGAGCAAGGGAGAATGAAGAGAACAAGATACAAGGAAAAGATCAGTCAAAAGGACTAACGGACCACAGCTATCAAGGTCTCCACCAGACTGAATCCAGTACAGATAGATGGTGCCCGTCTACCAACACTGACTGCTGTGACCGGGATCACAACAGAGGGTTCTGGACAGAGCTGAAGAAGGATGCAGAACAAAATTCTAACACAAAAAAAAAGACCAAATTTATTGGCCTGAAAAGTGTCTAGAGAAACACCGAGAGTATGGCCCCCAGACACCCTTTTAGCTCAGTGGTGAAGTCATTTCCGAGGTTCACTGTTCAGCTGGGGATTGGACAGCCCCGTAAACAAAATGGGACTAATGAGGCACAGCAGTCCAGGGACAAGGACTAGATGGCAGAAGGGGACAGGAATGCTTGTGATAGGGACCCTAAGTTTGAGTAAGGACAGTGTTGACATGTAGTGGGGTTGTTAACCATTGTCATAGGGCAACATGTGTACTAACTGTTTAATGAGAAACTATTTTGTTCTGTAAACCTTCATCTAAAGTGAGAAGAGCAGCACAACCGGAACAACGTAATTGATGTCACTGCACTGTGCTTGTAGAAATTTTTGCCATGGTGTATCATTGGCTATGAATATTTTCACCAAAAAAAAGGTCGAGAAGGGAGAGGGTTGACATGTCATGGGGTTGTTAACCAATGTCATAAAACAACATGCGTACGGACTGTTTAATGGGAAACTATCTGTTCTGTAAAACTTCACCTAAAGTACAATAAAAAAAGAAAAGAAAAAGTTTTGCTATGCTGATACGTCATAACGTTTAGAGCAAGGGAATAATCTTCCCTCAGTTAAATTTTATCAGACACCAGAAAAAGTGAAACCAAGATGACTTTTGGAGAACCTGAGCAGATTGGATGGATACCCGCAGCAGAGCTGAATGGCTGGTACCTAAGTAACCTCATCCTGAGGACCCTCTGCGCTACTGAAAGACTAATTATTAATGACTGTTTTGGGCTCGTAAAATGAATGGGAGGGGAAAGTTATCCTCCGAATATTAAAAAACTATGGCTAGAAAAGCCAGGCGGTGGCCTGCAGTTTGATGGGTCACTTTTATATGGCCTTTCTCACCACAGTCTTGTAAATCTCACCAAATGACTATGTGGGACTATGCAAATAAGATGCTTGTGACCCATCAAGGGGATTGGACAGCTTGCTAATAATGCAAATAAGGCACAAAGTCCCCTTACGGGGGGGGGGATCATTCAAATAAGGGGTATGGAACCCTAAATAAGAGAATTGGTCAGTTTTGTCATCCTGTTAGGCTTAAAATGAGCCATCCCAGAGGCAGGAAGAGGGGGACCTCACGACCACCAAAAAGAAGAGCCAAGAATGGAGCGTGTCCTTTGGACCCAGGATTCCTGCGCTGAGAACCTTCTAGATCCAGGAGACAGCTGTAACACCAGAGGCAGTGCAAGATGGCAAGCAGCAGCATCAAGCACGGCAGATAACCAGCAACAGCAGAACAAGGAGACAGGCAAGAGATGGCGCAGTGGGCTTCCTGGCCCACAGAGCAAGAGAGCCGAGTGCCTTTGGGCACGAGGCTTGCTGGTGGAGTAGGGTTCCTCCTTGGCGGAGCTTGGCTCACTGACCCACAGAGCAAGAGAGCTGAGCGCCTTTGGGCAGGAGGCTTGCTGGTGGACTGGGGTGCCTCCAGGCACTTGTTAGCAGGGCTAGGCTTGCTGATCCACAGAGCTAGACAGCTGAGCGCCTTCAGGCTGAGGCTTACTGAAAGAGCAGGGTGCCTCTGGGCACTTATCAGTGGAGCTAAAGAGCTTTCTAACAGTTGCCCAAGCAGGGCAGAGACCAAGCTGAGGGCTAGGGAGAGGCCTGCCTGTGGGCATGGCCAAGAAGCTGTCCTGACCAAAGAACTATATCCTGAGTTGTTCCTGGTCTTGAATTGTAACCTGGTACCTCCCTAATAAGCCCCATAATCATGAATATTGTTTGGGAGTTCTATGTGGCCACTGCAACGAATTATCAAATCCAGCAGAGGAGTAGAGAGTGGAATGGGAGGGACAGCTGGTGTAGGAACTGGTAAAATGGTTGGAGAGAGGAGGCATGTCTGACCTCCGCTTCAAAGCAATCAGCCTCTGGCTGCTGATGCCGACCTTAATTCTCCTCTTTCCCCTGAAGTTAGAGGACCTCTGACGCCACCGCGTCATTTTTACATATGCTATGAACAATAGGAATGCTATATTTTCAACATAGCCCTATAAAAACAAAGAACTATTAAATCTAACATTATAAAATCAAATCAACACTATCAGGTTAAGAATTAGATTGATTCAACTCTGCATGTAAGCTTTATTATACTACACGTTAGTTAGCCTAAACCTACCTGACTGGAGATGTCCATTGCGGCATGTCAAGTTAGTATTGTCATTATAGACGTCCGTCTGTGACTTGGAAAATTGCAAAACTGGTTGCAGCTTCTCTATGCAACAGAGGGGGATAAAAAGGAAAAAATAAAAGAGAAAAAATACATATAATGAACTAAAAATGTGAGAATGAAAAATTATTTCAAGGTAGTTTTTTTTACATGAAGGGTTTTTGCATGTACAGAAAATTATTTTCAAAAATATTAGTAAAAACTCAGACATGAAAACAGCAACACAAATTAACAATTGAATGGCTATGTTAAAAATACACCTCATTCAGATTTGGTACTAAGGCAGTTCCATATCACTATTATCATGAGCAAATATTTATTAAATATTTTATATATTCAAATCATTGTGCTGCAAGTGTACCAATAAGATTTTTTAAAAAATGAATATGTTCTCTACCATCCAGATCCTTATTAAATATAGTTGGCAACCTACAACACAAATATAATAACAACAATAAGAAAAAAAAGATTACAAAGCATAAACACAACCACTTGAAAGATTTTACAGAAGATGTAGCCTATGAGTTGGCTAGGATTTGTAAAGATAAAAAAGGGCATTTCAGGAAAGAAGACCAGCACTTAAAATAGCACAGAAGGAAATCTAAGGAATGTCTAGGGTATGCCATATTCAGTTATACTAGCATATATCAGGCAAAAAATAAAGGCAATAAAGCATACTGCAGAACTGTGTATACAGTACCTGACCCTTTGTGTTTAAACACATAAACACACACATGCATACATGAAGATTATCTCTGAAAAGGACCCAAAGAAACTGGTAACAAAAACTGGTTATCTCTGGACAAGGGAAACGGATAGCTGGGGCACAGTATGAGATGGATGCTGTTCATACTTAAAACTTTCTGAACTTAATGGCATGTGCCTGTATTACCTATTTAAGAAACTGATCAACTGAAAAAACAAAAGGATTATTTCAACACTTCCCCCAATTCAAAACACAAACCACAAACCCTCCCAAGATCTAGGACTCTAGGTCTAACACCTGATGTCCAAGAGGGTAACAGTTTGATCTTCCTTGCCACTCTACGTCACTGCTACACTCTCTTCCCTCACTCAAGTCAATCTATATGCTAGCTGACATACACCTTGCTGCACCACTTACTTACTATAGTGGTATGACCTTGCTTTAGTCTCAGTACTCTGAGGACCTCAAGGATTGAATAAAATAATACATATAAGGTACGTATTTTATGCCTTATCCATAACAGAAGTTCAATTTTTACTATATTTATTTTGATGACCTACTCCCAGTCATTATAATTGACTCTTTTCTCTTTTACTAGCAAGTCAATGAATATGTGCAAAAACACTGCACATATATACTAACTCTCCTAAACTTCTATTTCTAAGGTCAGACAAGCAGGCACCACGCTGGGTTTATGGTACAATCACACATTCCTTTGGGACAGGTTAAATAGCAACTACCCATTTCGCACAAAGCACGAAGTACTGCAGAGTTTTTGTATCCTAGAATTGGCTGATACAATACACCTTGGAACTGACTTATTTTTTTGTTCACTAACAGGCCATCTGATTTTTCTCAACAATAATGCTCTTCAAATCACCACACAGAGACAGAAACCACTTGTTTTGGTGAAAGACATAAATTGGAACAAACATTGATTTATATATGTCCTTTTCATCAATTAACACTCTCTTCAATGAAATTTAACAAAAACTCACAAATGCATTCATTAGATAGTAAAAATGAACAGAAATTAAAACCCTAGTTTTTATAACTAGTACTTAGGAATAAAAAGCTATAGAAGTTGATTTTAGGTGTGTAAGGCTTAAATTTATATGTATGAAAACACACATATACACAATAAAAAAATCCTAACACACTAACGTGAACCTGACCAATCCATTTGTGTAAAACAAAGTAAACCTAGACTAATGCTTTCTTTTAGAGTAACTAAAGGTTGTATAGATTAACCCAATGATTTAAATTAAAATAGTCACCTTGCTTCTTGACACCCTCACAACCATGCCCTACAAGGTCACCTGAGTGACCCACATAAAAGGAAAATCTTATCACATAACCTTCTGCTTAAAACCCTTTAGTGGCTTCCCACTGCCCAAAGATTAGAGCTCAATCTCCTTTTTATGACAAACCAGGTCTTCCATGGTTGGCCTACAATTCTTATGCCTGAGCAACCTCAACTATGCCTCTATCAGCATTCTTACCTACTCACCATGCGTTTCTTGTCTCTGAATCTTTGTTTATGCTCACTTCTTCCTGAGATGTCTTTCCTCCCAAACATTCTTTAATAGCTTCTATTTATCTTTCTAAATCCACACCTCAGGTTTCACTTTTTCCAGAAGCCTTTCTCAGACACCTATCTTCCCACTCCCATAAAACATTTGCATATCCCTATTCTGTAGTGATGAATCGATTTGTGTGTCTGCCTTCTCCACTATATTATGAGATCCTTAAAGAACATTTTATCTAATCTGTCAGTAAATCTGTTTGTTCAATCTTGAATTATAGTCAGAATACAACTATTTGTTATCATTTCTCCTGCTACCACCCTGGGCCAAACCTCCATAACTTTCTCCTAGATTTATGCAATAATGTCCTAAATGGTCTTCCTGATTCTACCCTCACAGTCTATGCGCAACATAGTAGCCAGAAGGATACTTTTAAAATTTAGCTAAGATTATGTCATTCCTTTGCTTAAAAACCCTCATTTCACAGGTGGTTAAAAGCTCAAATCCTCACCATAGCCTATAAGTCCTTGTGTGTTATGACGATCCCCCCGCCTCCACAATTACTTCTCTGACCTCATCTATACTATACTTTCCTTGTTCAGATTGCTGGGGCACACTGGCCTCTTTGCTGCTTTTCAAACATACCAGGCCCCTTTTCCTAAAGTTTTGCATTGGCTCTTCCTTCTCTCTGGACCATTCTTCTCCTGGATGTCTGTAAGGCTAACTCATGTCAACTTTTCCAAGAGGCATACCTTTGAAGCTAACCACTTCTTACTTGTCATATTGTTTTACTTTTTCACACATATTTATCATCGTCTAATATACTGTTTAACTGAACTATTTTTCATGTTCATTATTTACTGTCTTTTCCCTGCTGGAACACATACTCCACAAAGGAGGAATCCTGTCTATATGCTAAGTGCCTACAACTTTGCCTAGCACATGGCAGTCATCCAGTAAATATTTGCTGAGTTAATGAATTCAGTTTATATCCTTTGGCACTGTGGCTGGTATAGAGTGGGGATTTAATAAATGGATGGTGAATTAAGCTAAATTTAAAAAAAAAATAGCATAACTGGGTATACCAAGATGCCAATGCCAAAATCATTATTTATAGTTCAGTTTTTTCCTAAGGTTTACTATTACTAAACTGAAGATAAACAATGTTTATATATGAACTCTTCCAATCTTTATTAGAGGTTGCATACTCTCAAACCAGTCTAGATGGGGAATTCCCAGGATCACTCTTCCTAGGCTCTATCCTACCTGGTACTCCATCTCTGAAAAGCTTCCTTTTTAACCAGTACGTAATACATAAAATACGCTTTACTACTCATTTGTGCACAGATCTTTTTTACTGTCACTGAATTGGAAGTGACTCAACGGCAACGGGTTTGGTTTTTAGTTCATCTATTCCTGAACTTTCTGAAGTCTTGCAAGATAGGAATACGCTGATTTTCCCTTTCCTTTGTACTTACTCCTCCCTTTTTAAAATAACATCTTCATAAATGGGCACATAGCATTTGTGAGGAAGACAACACCAAACCAAACCAATTGCTGTCTAGTCGATTCCAATTCATGGCAACCCTATGTGTGTCAGAGTAGAACTGTGCTCCATAGGGTTTTCAATGGCTGATTTTTCAGAAGTAGACCACCCGGCCTTTCTTCCAAGGTGCCTCTGGGTGGTCTTGAACCTCCAACCTTTCAGTAAGCAGCTGAGCATATTATCTACTTGCAACACCCAGGGACACCAGTGAGGATGACAATAGATACCAACTTTTGTTGTGTCTTCAAAACATCCAAGATATTAATTCCTTTTATGCCTAGCTTCATGTTATATATCTTGTGTTTGTCCTCTAATATTACAAATAAAAAATCACAGTCTTATTCAAAGACAAACTAACGAGATGTTTCCAATGTTTCACCGTATCACAACTTCAGATACAAGATAAAAAAACAACTCTTACTCAGTTTTAAACGTGTTACAAAATGTTTTACTAAAATCAAACTTACTTTGAATCATTAATCTCACCACTTGATACTGTGTATGTATAATGAAAGGCATTTTAGCTTCTTAAAAACATAAAAATTACCAATGAGAACAATTACATGATTATTTTACTACAACAGCCGTTGGTACAATAATTCTTTATGTTTGAAACATCACTCAGGATATAAAAACACAATCCTGGCAGCCACAGAGGCCAAGGGAACAATGCCTTGTTAGCCATCAGAAAGCAGAGTTGTTTATTAACTATGTGGAGGAAAAAAGACCTACAAATGATCACTCAAGAATGAATGAATGAAAGAAAATATATACATGTGCATGTGTATGTAAGTATGTATTTTTCCCCCCAAGCAGAAAAGATTATTACAGTTAAGAAGATGAACAAAATCTAACATTTTCTGAGTATCTACGGTGAGTTAAAGGAGCCCTGGTGGCACAGTGGATAAAGTAATGGACTGCAAACTGAAAGGTTGGCAGTTTGAAACCACCAGCAGCTCCATGGGAAAAACATGTGGCAGTCTGCTTCCATAGAGATTTACAGCCTAGGAAACCCTATGAAGTTGCTTGCTATCAGTTAGAATCAACTTCACAGCAGTGGGTTTTTAGACTGAGTTAGGTTCCTTCAATGGTCACAAAATATGATAAAATATTATCTGTTACATATTACAAATGAGACAAAGAATGCCCAGACATGCTAAATAATCTACCCCAAACCACAAAGCTACAAATAGATAACATCTGCCTGCCTACCGAATATCTACTATTTCCATAGTAGAACCACCCAAGTGTATTGCTTGTGCGGAGCTTTGCTCCACCTTGTTTCAGATTTACAAGAATATAACAAAAATGTAACAATAACCACTACCACCATCAATTAGGAGATGAGAAGTTTTTCTTCAAAGATGTGTTCCAGCTAATGAGGACAGAAGGAATGTAAAAATTATAGTGTCATTAAGCATCAATCATCAACTGCTGCCAACATCACAATGGCAGAACATATACCCACTGTGAAATAGTCCTGCCATTACAAATTAAAAGTTAGCTTTGAATCTGATCAAGGCTCTAGATCCAACTATCAGTTTCAGGAAGAACAGAATATGTTAAAAATTACCATCAGATACATGCAGCAAAAGTCAGACTGTAGGAAATACTATGTGACAAATGACCTGGTTTCAGTAATAAACTGAAAGAAAAAGAAAAAAGATGGACCTGTACATTAAAAAAGGTGTAAGAAATATAACAACCATTCACAATGTATGGATCTTCTTATAACAAACTATTACAAAAATAGTAAAAGTTATTAAGTTATAATTAAAAATTTGAACAATGACCAGTGTTTTTAGCCATGATTTTTTTAATATTAAAAGGAATTACTGGTTATTTTTTAAGTGTGATAAAAGTATTTTGGTGATTTTATTTTTAAACAGTCCTTATAATTTAGAGAGAGAATATGAAATATTTACAAGTGAAAAGGTGTTAGGAATTTGCTTCAAAATAATTATGAACTGGGTAGGGGAGTGGGTCAGGTACAGATCAGGGCCAGTAAACTTTCTCTGTAAATGGTCAGACAGTAAATATTTTAGGCTTGAGGGCTATATGGTCTCTGTCATAACTACTCAACTCAGCCACTATAGTGTAAAAGCAGCCACAGACAATATGTAAACGAACGGGCATGGCTGTATGCCAATAAAACTTATTTATAAAAATAGGCAGAGAACTTGCTTTGGGCCACAGGCTATAGTTTGTCAACTCCCGGCATAGATAAAACAAGAATGCCCATGAGTTGGTAATTATTAAAGCTGGGTGATGTGTAATTAGGAGTTCATTATGCTCTTCTGTCAACTTTTGTGTATGTTAAAAATTTTCTATAGTAAGTTTTAAAAAAAAATCCTACACCACACATTCAAGATGACTGATCTAGTCCTAGCTAAAATTAAAGTCTCACTGAAAACACATTTCAAATACATCTCATATCCAATTATACAATACAGTAATTGATACCTAGAAGTTGTAACCGGTCCTTGGCCATAACCAAATTAGTCATCATTTTAGCTTGAAGGCGTCTAGCTCTTTCACACGGTTCACCTGAAAGAAACCAAAAAGAAAAAAATTGTATAATTACCTAACTTTTTTTTGTTTTACTAATATTGTTTCAAGATAAAATATCACCTCAATTCCTCTCATGGGGAGTCAAAAATTTTATAAAAAATTAAGAAAATGTTATTTTCAAATAATATCTACTAAAAAAATCAGTTACAGTTCATTATGATGGTTTCAGGCCTACTGTTTACTTCATAAATTTCTTGCGTATTTCATGGATTCTGAGATTTATTTTTTCACATTTTTAAATCTTTGCAATTGCAATGTGTTTTACAGTCAGTGCCAACTTACAAACGCCATCAGCCAGGCTGTAGTCAGAACATAGTTTGTCACTGCTCATGCATACACAAATTTGGTAATATTAATACTGTTATTTCTACATCTAGATAAGACTAAGACAACTAATTCGATAAAATTAAAATTCCAAGTGATAGAAGACAGTGTGTCATAGTTTAATTGACACTGGTTTTTCCTTAATGGTACAATCAAAAGCATTTAATGAAATACCATTTTTCTTACAACCAGTTTATTTTCTTCTAATTCTTCTTTCATGAACTCAATAAGAACAGCAAATACGTTTTGAGTATAATTCACAGAGTCATGCTCACAAACCTGTGAAGTCTCAAAGGACCAAACTCCCACATTTGGTTGTTCTATTCTGCTCTCTTTTATACAGGAGGCCAAAAGCTAGAGAACAAGTAATGTGGTGAAGTGAATTCCCTTCTGTGTCCTTTTGCCTTGGTTCCTTGTAAAAACTGTTTGAGAGATTTCTCCCTAAGCCCTGAGGAGTTACCTTTGCCCTAGTTTCTACCCCAGAGTTTGTTACTTTTGTCCAGGTTGACTGACATTACCTGGGTAAGTTGTAAACAACTTGGTTTGATACTTTTTGTCTGGTCCAGGGTGCAGCCTTCCCTGTGATTGGTGTGCACCTTGCAGGAACTGGTCAATAGACTACACAAATGAGATAAGCTGTAACCCAGATGCACCTACTATGCAAATGAAGTATCTGTGACCTACCAAGAGAGGATTGGTCAGTTCATGGTCCTGGTGGGAGGGCCATGCCTTGGAATTTATAAGGAGTTTGGGTAGTTATGCGCCGCATAACATCCACTCAGGCAACGTCCAACGATGTATACGTATGTAGTCTGGCATGTGCCCTCTGGGGATGCCCACAGACCAACTCGGCATCGACTGCCACCCCGCCACCCCTCACCCACAGGAACAGGTGCCCCTGCTGCTGGGGAGTGGGTTCCCAGTCCTGGTCCCGAGTGCCCAAGGTAGGGAGGCATCCCAGGGTCCAGCCAGGGCCAGGGCACAGCGTTACTGGGATCCCTCCTCTGCTCCCCAGCCTATGCCCAGAGCCTCCCTTCTGTGACCATCACAGAGCTGCAGGGCTGTGTGCCAGGAGGAACCTGGCCAACTGGTCACCAGAGGCATCTGCAGCAGGAGCTACCTGGATCGTGTGCCACACAGCAGCCCCCACCCAGGCCTGTGCACCCAGGAGCCCTGCGCAGCCAAGTGTTCACACAACATTCAAATTCTTTAACGTCCTATTTCAAAGAATGTATCACATGTTAAGCAACGCATGACTGTATATATACAGCCAATCCAACAAAGATTTGTCAGGCAGGAAAAGGAGACACGAAAAAGCAAGAAGAGAAGCAGCAAGAAGAAAAAGGAAAAAAGTAGAAAGCAGCAGCAGAGAGGAAGCAAGGAACCTGCTAAAAGAGCTGTAACACTGGTTAAGGGCTGTCACACTGAAGACAGCGGGAGTCTCAGAAGGGGAAGGGGCCAGTGGCAGGAGACCCAGAAGGAGCCCAGCAGCAGAGCCGGCAGTGACAGCCAAAAGGAGCCTGTCCTCAGGGGGTGAAGAAGAGGCTTGCATGGCTGAGCGAAGCTAAGAGATGTCCTGCCTTTGCCTACATGATTCCTGATCCTAAATCATGTTGTAGCCTGCTGATCCTAATCCCAAGTTGTACCCTGTTCCTTGATAAACCACTTAACTATAAATACGGTCTGTGAGTTCTGTGTAGCCATTGCAATGGTAAAACCCAAAAGAGAAGCAAGGAGTGCTGTGGGAAGGACGGCTCGTGTCAGAATTGGTAAAAAGGCTGGAAAATGGAGGAGGTATGTCTAACCTTCACCTCATGGGAATCAGCTTTGGACTGATCCTGGTCATTATTCCCCCTAAAGTTAGACAGATTTTGATGGTGCTACTACTGATACATTACTCCTATCCAGATTTTACAAGTAATCAAAATAAAAAGGAGAAAGGAAAGCAGGAGGGTAAATATTGGACACATTTTAATTATTGGAGATTACCTGACATTTAGTAGTCAGCCAGCCAGCCAAGAAATATCTACTGGGTGGACTGATACATGCAAAGTCAAGATATTTAACTTAAATACTGTAATTTTTGCTTCTGAATTTATTTTCACTATGGTAAACTGAAGTAGCATGCAAGTATATAATTTCCACAACTTAGTATTTAAGAATTCAGTAAGAATGCCTGGGTTCAAATCCTAACAGCCATGTAATAACTGAGACTTTAGTAAGTTACTTCTTTGTACTTCAGGTTCTTGGTCTGAAAAATAAGGATGACAACAACCTCTACACAACATGAGGCTGTGGTGAAAATTAAGAACGATAATACATATGAAGCACTTACAATGACACTTAGATACATAGTAAATGTGTAATAAATGTTAGCAATATATTTCAAGGTAATGTTAGACTCTAATTTCTAATCTGATAGGAAAGTAAAGATGAGAAATGACTGCTTTGTTTTAAAAAGCCAAGTGTGAATCAAAGTAAGTCATTTACAGTTCATATTCTAATAAACACTCAAATATTACCCAGAAGTGCGAAGTGGAGTTTGTAGATTATCCACTTTTTCCCCTGCCTCAACAAACAGGAAAGGGCTACGTTTCTAGATAGGGCTAAAACGTGACTGATCACCAACACAGCTGATCCAAGGAAGATACAGGCAAGACACTGGATATACTCTGACTGCTACAGGGAATCAAGTTTGACCACATCTGGTTATAACTTCATTTTCAGAATAGGTCACAAAACTTTACCTGTAAGTATACAAACAATAACACTAAAAAAACTATCCGGGGGGCGGGGCCAAGATGGCAGAGTATTCCGATGCTTCCACCTCTTACAACAAAGACAAAACAAAACAAGTGATTCAATTATATATAGCAATCTGGGAGCCCTGAACATCAAAGGCAGAGCTGAGGAACTGGACTGAGTGGCAAGGGGAGGGAGAGACGGTTTGGAAGCAGCAAGGAGTTGCCAGATTTGACCTGGCGTCAGCCTGAGCCCTTCAGGCTTGAGCAGCTCGTGGGTAAGCTGTGAGGCAGGCAAGCTGCAGGCCTCGGGAGGTGTGTTTTCTGCACTGGGAGAGACCCAGAGCCAGAGCGTCTACACGGTCATCCGGAACGAGTGAGAACCAGCCCTCATGGGCGAAAGATTATTGTGTATGGCCTGCCGTGCAGATCAAAAGCACCCCCTTAGGGAAAAGCCTCTCTCCCATTTGCATCCCAGCACCCTGCTCTGCACTGGGTCCCGGACTGGCTTCAGCAATTGTAGAGTCCCCCGGGCTGGAAGTAGGATCCGTCACATGCCCGGTGCTATTCTCCCTGCTTGGAGAGTGAACAAATCAACAAACGGGGCAAAACTAAACTGCCGGCTCCCCAAGCCAGGAAACCAGGGTAGGCACAGCTCCTTTGCCTAGCCACAAGCATAAAGGATCCACGGACTTTGAGTGCCCTTCCCCCTGCATAGACTTGTGTGGGCCCATTTCAACAGCATAGGCCCTCATTACCACAGTACATGGGTATGTACCAGAACTCTAACTTCAACTGTTTCAGCTGTGAAAAAGCAGGTTCTTGACATTTGACACTGCTCTGCCCATTAGGCAGGGTCGTCACCTACCCACTTCACGAGCCTGAGAACTGGTGGCTCCACCCACACCACCTAACCACCTGTGATAACAGCCCATGAATAAGAGGTGCCCCCCAGTCCCTAAAGCCAACAGCATTAGCTGCTCATAGTCCAGCTGCAAAACCCACCCACCTACACACACTAGGGAACAGAGACACGCCTTCCTCCTGAGCACTCAGGGGTGGCCATTAGCCCCCTGCCTTATTCACAGTGTGTAACCATGATACAGCCAGATGCCTGTGCCTACACCAATCACCCATGCCTCTCTAGGACTGTAAGCGAAAGCCTACACCAAACACTTGGTGGCTATCTACCCGGGCATCTAAGCTGAATCCACAGAGGAGTGGGCAAACTCTTGAGCTCACAAACCTAGTAACAGATCTAACCATCTGGTGACAGGACATTAGAGCTTCAAAGGTGCCACTAATCAAACCAGCTCATATGAGCAGCCTATTTAGGCATATCAAAACAAAATAACAAGCTAGGACACAGTAAATAAACATAAATAAGTATAATAACTTATTGACGGCTCGGAGACGACAGTCAATATCAAATCACATAAAGAAGCAATCCATGATGGCTTCAGCAAGCTCCCAAAATAAACGATCTAGAAATTTTCCAAGGAGAAAAATTTCTTGGAATTACCAGCAGCAGAATACAAAAGATTAACATACAGACCTCTTCAAGAAATTAGAAAGGAAATTAAGCAAAACACAGAACATACAATAGAGAAAATTAGAAAGATTAGAAAAGAGCATAATAACAAATTTAACAGGCCGCAAGAATCCATAGAAAGACAGCAATCACAAATCCAGAAAATTAACAATAAAATTTTGGAATTAGACAACTCTACAGAAAGTCATAGGAGCAGAATTAACGCAATGGAAGTTAAAATTATTGAGACTGAAGATAAAGCACTTGACACCAACTTAGTTGAAGAAAAATCACAAAAAGGATTTTAAAAAAATAAAGAAACCCTAACAATTATGGGGGACTCCAACAAGAAAAATAACCTATGAGTGACTGGAGTACCA